GGGGATTTTTGCTTGTCTTTAAGTCAGTAATGCAGTTATTCCTATTGACAATAGATATGTCCCTGCTGAAAAGCCTGAACCTTATCCTCTGCAAATTATTGAAACTGATGACATTAGTTTGTTTGTAAGGAAGCCTGATCAGCATATTGAGGCAGAACTTGCAACTGTTCCTCCTTTAGCAGTACAGTGTTCATTGAAGGATGTTGTTCCCAAAAATGCAGTAAGTAAAATCTGTTCGTACTATTCCATAAGATTTTTTTTTTATTTCTAAGATTATAATAGTAGAGAACTTAAACACATAATTTGTAATTATCTTGCTTCAACATAAACAAAAGGAAGTTCAAGAGGAATACATGGGATTATAATTTTTTTTTAAGTTAAATTATCTATTCTCAAAAGGGTTGCATTGCTTTCATGGGAAGCCTTTTCTGCCTTAGAATAAGGACATGTATTGCAGCATTATTTTCATCAATATTCACTTTTTATTAGGCTTGCTATATTTTTGCAACATCTACGTGGGAATGAACTGTGTCCAGTGCAGCTGTGCATTTCTGACAGTATAAATGCTGGTTGGTTTTGGATTTCTGTATCAGTCTGATCTTGTCTGAAATAGCTTTAAATACAAAAGATCTGCAACAACTTCCATGGGTGTGGGTAAAATGCCTTCCTTGCATGTGCTTTCGTTTTTTTCACACCTAAAAATCACAGATTTGCAGTATGAAATGAGAAACACAAACTTGACCAAAGAGAATAAATTTGGATAGCTTTTTCGAAGTAGATAAAACATCAAGAAAGATATTGTGGAGAGCAGGAGTGTGTAAATTGCCCAAAACTTTGTATAAGCACACAAAAAGATAAGTATACATTTTGAAACTAATTGGGAGAGCAGAAATGTAAGTCATGAGATGAAACAGCATATGATAGTGCTGGTTTGTATATCGCAAGAATCAGCAGGGATGAAATCTTGAATCTAAAAGAAACATGGTAGAAACTGCAGCCTTTTGTTCTGAATCACTTTTACACAGTTAAAACCACTTATAAATATGTCCTAGAAAAATACTCTAGTGCTGTCCTGGCTAAAGATTAGACAGTGTAACAGTGTGTTCAGTATTTAATCTGTTTAGATACATCCGTGCTCTCTTTCTTGCTTCTATTTTATTTTATATTCTTTTTTATTACTGTTAGGGGTTTTTTTTGTTTTAACATTCTCTGACATCTTCACTAATTTTTTCTTTCTTCCTAACACAGAGCAAAGGTTGGGAAGAGGAAGCAAAGACAAAATTTTTGGAAATGGTAAATAATAAGGTTGTTTTAATGGTCATATTTAGAGAAGAAGATGGTGTTCTCATTGTGGATTTGAAAAAACCTCCATTTAATAAAATAAGTAGTAGCATGCCAGTATCTCTCACGGATGCATTAGTTTTCTTAGACTTGGCAAGGTACGTGTTTTCCCTTTGTTCAGTGCTCTCTGTGACATTATAAGCATTATGCTGTTATCATTTAAGTGAAGTTTACCAAGCAAATTGTTTTTGCAGTGTTTGATGTGCTATGGTGTGATGCATTAAATCTTAGGCAATATCTCCTAATTTTTTCACCTTCACTAATAAGCACTGTGGCATACTCATTTGCACTAGTGAGGGCTTTATTTGGTCATGAACTTTATTTTAGAAAATAACCAAATTTAAATTTCTGTACAAATTTGAGTAACAAGGGGGTGAAAGGAGTAGCTCTTAGTGTCTACCAGGGAGAGAAGGCCATATGGAAATCAGCCTTTTACTTGTTTGCTTTGGCTGGGTAGGCAGTGACAGGCTGGCCAGCACATCTCAGCCAGCCACAGAACAGTGATGCAAGTAGCACAATACATAGGAGAAACAACAATCGGGCTTAAGGGGGAGCATTAGGACAGAGGAGAGCTGCTCTGGAGGGAGCAGTGGAAGAGGCATTTCGGTATCTGGGTACAGGGTTATGTCATGCAAATCTCTAGGAAGTCATAGTTCATTTTGCTGCACAGAGAAAGGTCTTTGTTAATATTTGAGCATAACTAGTTACCGTGGTGAAGACAATGGGAGATAATTTTTTACTGCATCTATTCTTCAGATAATTGCTTCTTCTCATAAGAAAGGAAAAGGAGATGTAAAAGAAAATTGTTAATGTGTAGTAGTTTCTAGCCTTTCATTTCTTTTTTTTTTTAACAATTAAAATGTACATTATTGTATGCCAAATAATGATATCTTTTTAGGGACCAGATATCATTCTTCATGTATTATATTTGTGATAAGAGAAGCATTAGAGAGAATTGGCTGCACCACCTACAAGAAGGAAAGTTCAGGCTATTCCTGCAAACAGAAATAAAGCTATTTTAGGAGACCATTTTGCATTTTTCATGAGGAAACTTGATATTTGAATATAAAAGGATTCCCTCTCAATTTTGACAAAACTTATTCAGAATTTCGTTTTGTTTACCTTAGGTTTAGATTACAGATTCCCAGTATGCAGTATAGTCCACCCAAGATTCCACAAGAAACAGAAATCTTTGTTGTAGTTTGTCACATTAATAGTCCAAGTGATTTCTATCTCCAGTTGGTAAGTTAAGAAATAATGTCTATTTAAATAAAAATCTGCAATAACATTTTCATGTTATGTTGCTTGTAATTCACATTAAGTAAGCTACGATTTCCGTTAACTTCTGTCACTTGTTTTAGGACTCCTAGACTTAGATAAATTTCTACAGGCCTAGATTAATCCTAGATTAATTCCAGGAATTCTTAGAATTCCAGAAAGTTAACATTTTTTGGTCAGTTTTGTTACATGGTTAATTCCTGTGTGGGTTTGTAGTGTTTTACTGTTTAGAGTAGTGATTGAACAGGGCAATACTCAGCAATTCTTAGCTCTTTAATTCACTTTGTGTTCCTAACCACTGTTTAATTTGGAGGGGGAAGGTCAGAAGTAAACTGCTAGAAAAATGTCCTTTGAAAGAGCATAAATATTTTTTAAAAAAGAACCCCTAGTACGTATGTATGTTTTGTTTTCCTTATTTTAGAGAGAAAGCCTCGATTCTTTAGACCTGCCAAAGAAAATTCAGGAGGTGTATAAAAATGAGTATGGGAAAAACCTGGAAATTGTCTGCCCAGTAGAAGGGCAAGCCTGTATTGCAAAACAGGAAGATGGGAATTGGTACAGAGCTCAGATTATAGGTGAGGTATTGATTCTTCCACTCCAAAGCTAGGTTGCATAATCAGAGGTGGTGCTAGATCAGAGTCATGCAGTGGGTGTGAATAGTAACAAACAGCTATTATTTTTAGTAGGCATCGCTAATGTTACAGTCTTTTGCTATTAATTGAGTGGGTTTCGTGGGTTTTTTTTTATAAACTGTATACTTAATTTTATATATATTATTGAAATTCTATTATATAATTTTCACTTAATGTTTCACTATTACAATTTGAACTATAGATTTATCTATTATAGCCAGCCTCCAAGTGTAACTCTTGTGGGTCAGTAACTGCCCACCTGAAGAGGATGGAGCTGACCTCTGTGCTGCCTGTATGGACAGTATAGCATGCCTGTATACTGACATGTCTACTTGGCATATATTTAATGTGCCAGTGTCTCATAAAGTGATTAGATGGAAAGGGACCAAAATGCTAACTGTAATTTCAGGAACTTGGAAGAGAAGGTTATTAAAGAATATGGTTTGTGAGTTGGGTTATAGAACATTTGAAAATGTGGTATTTTATGATTATATAGTGGAAATGTGTTTTGCTCTGAAATGTTGGTACTTCAGATAATCTACATCAGATAATATTTTTTTGTTTCAATAACTTGGGTTATTTTTCTTGAAGGGCTGCCAAGTCATCAGGAAGTCATGGTAAAATATGTTGACTTTGGCAATGTTGCTAACTTAACTCTTAAAGACATACGCAGAATCAAAACGGAGTTTCTCAGCTTTCCAGAACAGGTAAATTGGTGCTTGTCTGGATTACATTAATGGAATCTCAATGAATGAGAGGGGAAAGAGAGGATTGTTAATGTGCTGGAGTAAATAAAATGTTAAGCAAGTTCCTTCCATGTGCATTTGTGATATGTTATTTGGGTGCACATTGAAAACTCTGTATTTATTTTTTATCATTCAGTTATAAATTAAATCCAATGTTACCTTGCAGTGAGGAGGTGGACATGCATTGTGTGTGTTTAATTCAGATACCTTCTTTCACATTATAGTAAGCTAAATCAATTTTTACATTACTTCATTTTCAAATGATGATCCAATAATTGTCTTTTTTAAAAATTCTATTTTTGTTTGGCTTGTGGCATTTGAAGTTTTGTGTTTTCCCAACTTCGGGTATTGTAGGATTTTTTCCCTTCTGACGAGGAGAAAAACTGACTGGGAAAGGCAATGGCAAGGTATTTCTGTCAAATAAAAAGCACATAAGTAAAAAATAATTATTTTTCTTCAGCTTTTCATTCAATAGTTCCAGTTGCCAACCATAATAATACTAGAAGTTTTCTTATGTTGATAGGGGGTTTTTTAGCTAGTTGTAGGCACCAGAAATAGTGATTATTTTAAGTACGGCCAGCATCTTTTCCTGAAAATAGGATTTAATTCGTTATCTTTTTAGCAGATGTTTCTGGGAAAAGTTTCAGCCAAAAACTTGAGCCTATTTTGACAGCAGTGGAGGGGAACCATTCTGAAATGGCAACTTGTTATTGCAGTTGCAGTGTCTTAATGCTTCAGATCAGAGTGCCTAAGGGTGAATAAGGGTGGAGGGATTTTTGAGGTGTGTTACCCCATTGTTGCAATTGATTGCTTGTTACTGACAAAATACAAATCCTCCGAAAAATCCATTAAGAGTCTCTCAGCTCTTGAGCACATACACTAGGTTTCCTCACTTTGATCACAAAGCAGAAAAGGCTAAAGAGATATGGATACGGATGGATATATGACTGCTAAAGAATGGTCTAAAAAAAACTTGACCCTGTCAGTTATTCTCCAATTTCAGCATTCTTATGCTATATAAAGGTGATGGTGAAACACTGGCAAGGTGTTTACACTTGAAGTTTAGGTCAGAAAGAACAACTTCTGTGGCTGTTAGCTTTAATGCAGGTAATAGGTCAGCAGGCTGTTTCTGTGTTGCTACAGTTTCGAGCCTTTTCCACTTAAAAGAAATTCTAAGGATTTAAAGTTCTTTGAAATACAAATTAACGCAAGATTGTAAAACCAAATGTTTGGAAGCTAAGCGTATTGGAGTGCAGTTGATTGTGCAGGTCTATTCTGTTGCATGTAAGCGCTGGTAATTCTTCACTCATGATCACCACATACTGCACTGCCTCAAATGTAAGTTGGCTGTTTAAGAGATTTGACTTAGGCTGTTACAAGGAACGTTGGACTTTTTCAGCCTGTTGATACAGTTTACAGGCATTTTAATAGATTTAGGTGCTACAGAAATGTTGGCTAAGACTAGAATGAGCAGTGATTATTGTTGTTTTTGTCATCTGCAGCCCTTTATTTTAATGGTTATTTAACCAGTCAGTCATATTTTCATATTCTGGACTGCCTGTATCCTAAGAATATCTGCATAAACTATTTTTATTTCTGTTGTCTTTATTTCCTTTCTCTACCTTTCCCCCCACCTGTGTTACTTGTCTTTCTTCTGATGTAATAAACAAGAAGGAGGAAGCAATAATATTCACAGTTAATTTAAAATTGAGCCATAGCAGTCACCAAAGTTTGCAGTAAAGATGCTAAACAAAAATTGTTTTCATCAAAGTACTTTATTTAATCTGATTTTCTGTGTGTCCCCTAATTAATACCTTTCAAAAATCTGGGAGGAATTTTCTGACACAGGCACTGTGGTACTAATATCTCTGTTTAGTCCTTCAGACTACTACAATGGTGATGTCATGTTAATATAAGAGACTTTGAATCTGGTTACTACATCATGATAAGCAAGGTTTATCACCTCTCTGCAGTAACCTTTCCTGATCTCTGCAGCCACTTCTGTGCCTAACACTAAAGGGAGGCAAAGAGAAGCTCCTACTTCAGCAAGGATGTATCTGAATTTGAGCTTCATGCTCAGCTACCAGTGGGGAGGGGGCAACATCTTAAATAAAATCAGTGATAATGTGGAACCAGAAGCTGGGTTGCTGTCCTGCAAGAGTGCAAAGCAAAGGCTAGAATGTGGCTATAATGAGAAGGGCTTGACAGGTGATGTACTATGTCATTTGAGTTATTCTTCAGGCCATCAGGTGCAAGCTGGCTCACATCAAACCTTATAAGGAGGCAAATGAGTGGAGCAGAAAAGCCAAGGCAAGATTTGAAGAAATGACTGAAGAAAAATTTATGCTGTGTACAGTTGTTCGTAAGTTATCAAGAGTGTATTACTTTATATTTAAATATTACTGAATAAACTGAAACATAGAAACATGCACTTTCATATTTTAAATAGTATTTATTTGAAATGCTTACGTTCGTACTTTTGACTGGAGTAAGAATATCTAAACAGGAACTAATTGGAGGAGATACAATAGATAACAGACAGAAACTCTGTTTATGTCTTCTCTTACACTAGCCCTAGATAATTTAAACATCCTGGTTTATTAAGATGGGCTTGTTTCCAAAAGCACTAGCTATCCTTGACTCTTCCTAACTTTATTGGTAGCTGGAAGGGTGATTGTTGCTGCTGTAAAACTTTGCAAAAACAACAAAAAGAAATCAGATAACACATATATGAGTTAGTAGGATTTTTCTCAATACCGTTTATTATTAGTGTGTAGCTAGTTAGTTATTTTTCCACACCTGTGGAATGCTGGTTTGGAAACCATCTAATAAATGGAATTACATGGAGCAGTTGGTTTCTTTGTACAAAAATATTTTGTAATAGTTTATGCATTATATGTGAATCTATAGATGTGTGCAATGCTGGGCCTCTACGTATTGCTGAGGTTAGACAACATAATTTTATAAATCAAATGTAATTTTACAGAATTCTGTCCTTTGCTACCATTCGCCATGTCTGCAAAACTGCAAATAGTCTTTTTACAGTCATTGATAGGCACTAATTATATTATTTATTCACAGAAATCTTAGATAACAACATTTTATCTGTTGAACTCTTTGACTCTGCCGTTCATGGAAGAAGCCGTAGTATTAATTGCCAACTAGTTAAAGAAGACCTAGCATCCTACATACATGGGTAAATACACTGTGAATAACTTAAAAAGTATTTAGAAGTACTTGAATTTGTGTAATAAAATTACTGGTTTTAGTATGTCTCCAGTGGCTGGAATTTACCACATTTGTGATAAATTCATTACAAATCAGATTAATCAAATAAGTTACAGAGTGTAACTGCAGTTTGGCATAGTTGAATTCTCAAGCTTAATCTTGACTAATGCAATTTATTGAAATCGATTCAAAGGTTGGAGGTGAAATTTTGCATCTTACTTGTAATGTGCTTGAATACCAAATCTTCCCAAACTGGTTATCATGAAGGTTCCCATTGCCTTCTAGTAAGAAAATAAATAACCACTTTCTATGTTTAACTTGCACCTAAGGTAAGTCATGTCTTTGGAGGGTCTGTTCTTAGAAAAGAAATAAATAAGTAGCTGTGAGAGAAGAGTTGGGAAGTCTGCAGGGTGAGCTGAGGCTGCTGAGATGGCACTACTGCATTTAATTTGTTAGGTTTTTTAAAAGGTAATAATGGGCTTTATTAATGGAAAACAATTATTATTCTTTTATTAATTATTTTTGAATGCTAATTAAAATATTGTTAAATAGAAAGTGTTGATTCCAAAGGGGAATTTCTGAATTGGCTTTTTCAGGAGAAAGCAAATAAGTGGATTTTCATCTCTTGGCTCAGAAATACAGCAAAACCCTAGTAACACTTCTCTGGTATCAGTCACAATTTTTAATAGGATTTTTGTATAGTTAAGAAGCTTTATTTAAACCTATTTAAAGCTGAATTATTTTGTCACTGTCATTGGGGCATTTTGTTGTGTTGCAGATATACTTAGATGCCTGCTTATGACCTGCAAACAAGTGGATATGTTACATTAATATAAGTTGCTGTGTAACTTTGCTAATACGGATTTTTTGGTTGCTCGCTCACTCCATCTTCTTTAGTTGGACTGGGAAGGAAACAGAGGAAATAGGAGCAAGAAAACTCATGGGTCAAAATAAAGACAAGGAAATCACTTACTAAGTACTGTTGTGGGCAAAACAGACTGCATTTAACTTGCTTCATTACTAGTTAGCATAAATATTCAATTACTGATTCAGGTATTTGGACACAAAAGACTAACATTAATAGTTCCTAACCTCCCTGTTTCCAAAGTTCAACTTCACTCCAGGCCCCTCTCCTCCTCTTCCCACGCTGCAGTTACACTTGGTCCCTTCAGTGGGGCAAAAAGCAGCGCAGGTGGTTGGGATGAGAACACAGCAATACTCGTTGCTGCTCCTTCCTCTCTTCCTGTGCTCCAGCATGGTCCCTCTGCAGGCCTCAGGACCTTTAGGAGTGTGCCTCTTCCTCCATAAAATACCATCTGCTCCAAAATTACTGTTATTTCTCTTCAGTTCCCTCCTCTGCCTGGTGTGTTCTGCTCTTCATTAAATTAGAGGTGCCACTGGCTTCCCTGAAGAGCTCCCCCATATCTTGTGGAGGGTCTACTGCAGAGATGGCTGAAACAGGGTGTGTCTGCCACAGGGCAGCACCTGGGGCCTCTTCTCTCCGAGGTCACTCCTGCAACCCCTCTGCCCAGCTACCAAAAACTTGCCATTCACACTCAGTGCACTATGTCTTTTAGTTGGAACGATGATGTTTCCATTTTGAAGGGGGCTAAGGGGCTTGTTTTGTGGGGGCCTTAAGGAGTTTTGGCTTGCTTTGTTTTCCAGTGCACATACCTCTTTAACCCTCCAGAACTCATTGGTCAAAATTTGTCTTTCTCACTGAATTTCTTGTTTGAGAAGATGACTGTCTGCAAAAGGCAAGAGTTGGGTGAATAATTTAAAACTTGCTTCAGGTCATTTAGAATCACATTTGGGTTATTACTATTTTTTCATTTTTATTGCTGTTGAGGGATACCCAGGCAAGCTCTAAACTGCAGTCTAAGACAATGTAAGCAGGAGAGTACAGCACTCCATTGAAGGTGACTTTTTGACAAGCAAACATTAGAGTACTCTTGCATTGGGATAGGAAGTAGTCCGTACTTGCTTGGAAGAAACCTTGAGTCTGAAGTTCCTTCCAAATCAGTTGCTTTTTCTGATGGATCTGCAGTGATAATGCTATCCTGGAGTTAGTAGAAGGAGAGTTGGAAGAAATGTAACATGTATTTCACTTAGGAGGACCCTCACTGGCAGACTGGCTCTGTCCATTTTATAGTCCAGACTAGTGATATGCAGGATAAGCGTGTTTATAAGCTATTGCATTCATTTATTTTTTGGTTCTACAAGTTAGCTGTTCTACCCAGCAGTTTCCAAATACCTGCATCAGGAAAGCTTGCAAAATAATTGTGTAAGAGTAGGTAGTGGATGGTTCAACACTTGACAGGATTTTCTCTGACGGAACATTTTGTGTCCTTGTCAGGAAGGAAAATATAGGTGATAGATCTCTGAAAATAGAAGAGAGTTTCTTCATGGAGACCCATAAATGGTCAGCTGTTAAACTCACACTTGCTGTCTGCTTCAGTCAGCAATCACAGAATAATAGATAGTTTGGGTTGAAAGGAACCTTTAAAGGTCATCTAGTCCAACCCTCCTGCAATGACCCAGGCCATCTACAACTGTATCAGGTTGCTGAGAGCCCCATCTAACCTGGCCATAAATGTTTCCAGGGATGAGTTATCAACCACCTCTGTGGGCAGCCACACCACTGTCACTGTAAAAAAGTTGTCCTTATATTTTGTCTGAATCTACCTTCTTTTAGATTAAAACTATTACTCCTTCTCCTATCACAACAGGCCTTACCAAATAGTTGTCCGCATCTTTCTTTAAATGCTCCAAGTGTTGTTTACAAGAATCCAGTTCCTTTAACAGGAATTTTTTCCAAGCTGCAGTCTCTTAGGCCTCTAGTTGGCACAATTCACACAGACTTGTATTAAGCTAGGCTGTGGCTCAGAATGCACACCAGGCAACTCTAGATTGTTGTTGGCGTTCATTGTATCCAGTTCACACAGTTTAAACAAGTTTCATCAAGGTATTCCTGTGACTGTACTTGATTCAGTACACTACTTAAGAAAGTGCTAGCACTTGTCTTGTATTTGTGTCCTTAGGCTAGAAAGGTAAATGTTTCACTAATGTTAATATTCTTTACTTCTGAAAGAAATATTTACACATCTTAGAAGTTGAATGTTGCAGCTTTCACTCAGGGGCAACATTGATTTCCGGAAGCATGATTTTAGTAATTTAATGGTCTTTTAAGCCAAACACAAACATTAATGTTCAGTAGTCCATTTGTGTCAGCCTTGCTTTTCTGCTGGCAGCCGATACTGTGCAGTGCTTTCATTTGTTGGTAGAACGTGCAAGGATAACCTTCTGAAGGAGAATAGAAGTAAGTCACTATCTTGACTGTCTTGGTAGTAGCATTTAGAAATGGTGTGGGTTTTTTTCTTTTGTTTGGAATTTTTTCTGCTTTTCTAAGCTGTTATTTTTCAGTCTTCACGTGGGTTCCTGTCATGTTGAACTGTGATTATTGAGCTCTTTTTCACATTGTTTGCAGTGTGTTTAAACTTTTCATTCTAATTGCTTTATGCTCTTTACAGATACACTGGAAGTGCTGTTTTAAGGTCTAATGAAATATGGGATGCTCCTCTAGAACAAATTCCTGAAACCTCCGAAACTTCAGAACCTACAGGCATGGAATCTGTGGATGAAGGAGATGTCAAATCACTTGGTAAAAAAGAACTAGAAGGAAGAGTTAGTCACGTTGTGTCTCCTGGTAAAATTTTTATTCAGTGGCTGTCATCAGAAAGTACACTGAAAAGGTACTAAATCTTTTATTGAGTTAAGGCATTTATATTATAAACTGATGAGGGATGGTTAGAACAAACTCTGATCAAGGCCTGATGAATGCAACAGTGTCCAGAAAGATCTTTCTTTTCTTTCTTATCCCCATTCGTTCATTAGCAATCTTGGTAAATAATACTGGTATCCTAAGTCACGGAACTTCAAGTCATTTTTTTCAATGTTATTCTCACATGCTGTTAGGAAAGTCTGAAGGCAATTTCTAGCCATAGTGTATCAGCCTTCCTTTGGTAGTTATATGGGTAACGTTTAGGTAATGGTACGTACTGTTTGAAGATAGCTAAGTGGAAATCTCATTGCTTAGTGGAGGTTGCTTATTTATGCTCGTTTCTCCTTTCATTTTTGTACCTCCTTGCATGTGGCTGCCTAGACACCCATTGAATTGGTCATGATACCAGATGAGTACCACGCTGTCGTATTTTTGAGAAAAAATAGTGTAGCTTTCAAATAGTACTATGCAGAAGGGTCAGGATTGCTCAGATTAATTCTATTTAAGATCACATTACAGTCTTACAGAGTTTTAATCAGTGTATGTGTTTTGAAGCTTCATTTAATGTATATCTAACATGTCATGAAGAAGAACTACAATACCACATGTCTGTTAAAACAGTTGCTAAAACTCTACTATATGCTAGTTAAGCAGAAATGGTCTAAATAAACACTTTCTTCATGGAATAAAATTTTACCACTAGGAAAATGTTTTTTTCTTAATGTTAGTTTACAGAAGAAGATGGCTGCCATCTACAACAAATCGCAGCCACAGTCCATGAAGTGGGAAAGTGGAATGCACTGTGCTGTTTATATATGTGATTTGGAACGGTGGCAAAGAGGTCAAATAAGCAGGATTGTCTCTGAAAGAAGTGCAGAGGTAAACCTGTTATCATAAGAGGGTTCATACTTATAAATATTTGTAAGCATTCATTGTTGAGAATAATGTCAAATCTTTGGTTCTTCTGTGTTAGTATTTTCTCATAGAGCCTTATGCTTTTGTTGAGTTGCAGTTACATTGTACATTGCTGCAAGATGTCTTAAAGCTCAGAGGCTTTCAGCAAGGAACCTGTTGATGAAGGTTCCTGAGGCTGACTTTGTGTATGGTTACACTACACTTTTGAACATAGCACAGATTCTCAAGCTGTAGCCTAACAGTTCAGCTGAGATTCCAACAGCTGTGTGTACCTGAGGGTTGTGTTAATTCAAACCTAATGATCCTTTCTAGAAGGTGGAGCTGGTTGTACTGAGTGCAGTGGCACAGGAACATATGTAGTCATTCTGTTGTTTGAACCTTAAACTGGTGGTGATGCCCTGTGCTATGTAGGTGTAAGATTTTTCACAGTAGTTTCTCATATTGTGATGCTTTAAACGTCTGTTTTGTACTAATTTGAAAAAAGCAAAAAGGCATTTTGTGGATAGATAACTACTTACCTCAAAAGTAAGAGTGTCTTTTTAATCATACAGATAACCCACAACTGGCTTATCGTGAGTTCTATCCACCATCATCAGATTATGCCCATGGTTCTCAGTAGGAAGCAGAATTGGGACGTTCTATGCTTTTGACTTGCATTGTCTGCCTTCTAAGGCTAAGAGCCCTCAAACAGCTATTTAACCATGTCAGAATAAAAAGCAAGGGGAGAGGGGAGCTATTTTGCCATTTCTGGGTTTGCAGACATAACTGAAGCAGGAGGAAATAAATGTTCTTTCTCAAGTAACAGCCTCTGTGAAGTTGTTTAGTCCCTTTTGAGCACGTCTGTGTGTTTTGTCCTCTTGGCACACTCTGTCGTCGGCTAGAGGTCATTTGCCACCAGCCATGGAGTAGGTCGAATGCTGGTAATGTTTGCTTGAATTTGGTTTACCTATTCAGCCATGCTTTGAATTATCATTTGTTACAGATAAATCTAAGAAGGTGGAGTTTTTCCTGCTTCATTGTGTTTCTTGTCCGTAACAGGTGCTACTTTATGATTCTGGAGCTGAAAAAACAGTGGATATCAGCTGTCTAAGAGAACTTCAGGAAAATATGAAGAAAATTAGGACATTGGGAGTAGAATGTTTCTTGGCAGATATAAGGTAGCCTTTTCATTATAGTGACTAGCAGTATTAGAAACCTAGTAATGATATAAATTAATATTTTCCTGTGTTAGCACTGATAATCTAAGAATTGGATGGGGTTTGCTTTTTGAATAAAGAATAAATGGGATGGCAACTGTGATTAATTTTATAAGGAGTTTTTTTCTAAGAGTTACACTACGTGCTAGTAAAGAAGAAAACTGTGCTATAGAAAGAAAGGATGAGTTATAAAATACTGGACAGATGATAGAGGTTTTTCTGATTTCACTGAATGCTTTTTTCCTTGGCTTAGAATTTGAGATAATTAGATCTTATGAAATTGCACAGAAGACCTCTCTTTTCTAGACTGTAAAAAAGAGAGAACCAGGGAATGCTTCCATGCATTTGTTGGTGTGCTGTCTATACTGTGAGGAAAAAAGTAATCATGTTTGTAATACCTATTCCCTGAATTAATATAAAAAGTGCAATTTGCAGACAAAGTATGGAATTGCCCTTGCTCTGCTAAGACAGGTGTCATAATTCTGGAACACGTGATCCTCATAAGTTTTGGGGTTATACTCTTTAATTCTTCCTATCATATAGATCCAGAGATGAATGACCATTTATTTTTACTCTTTAACTGTAATGGAGATTGTTTTTTCCCTGGTGGTTCAAGCGTTCAAAAAAAAAATCAGTAAAGGGAAAGATTTGTGGTAAAGCTCAGGAGATGACAACTTCTCTTATACTAAAGGAGATCATAATTTGTTCTGTTAGGCCAACAGGTGGAAGCACACAGTGGACAGCAACAGTGTGTGAATGCTTATCCTATTATCTAACTGGGGCACAAGTAAAAGTGATCATACAGGTTCGTAATCAAAACCAGTGGTATTTGTGAAACTTTTGTCAGCTTGTCTGTTAATTTAATTTTTTTTCCCGAATATTTTCACTCTTCAAAAAAGTCCTGAGAGAAACCTACTTAAATTGATATTTGCTGTAGGGAAAAAGATGCTTTTTCTTTTTTTCTGCTTTATTTTCTTTTTTTACTGGGGTATTAGAGCAGTTTGGCCACCTAGAATGAACACAGTCTTAGATATATTTAGTTAGTGAAGAAGGATGTATCTTTGGGATTAATAGATTGGTAGGTGAGCAAGAGGCACATGTTTTTGATGAGAATAATTTCAGCAGCTACTGGGTTTAGTTTTCAAGCCTCAGGAGCAGAAAGAACTATTCTAGTGCATTACATCATTAGTGATTGACTTCTAGCACTGGTTAAAACTGAACTATTACAAGGTATTTATTAATTTATTGTCTGTTGGCAGCTGCCAGTGAGGTTTTACAGTATGTCTGGAAATAAAAGTGCTGATGAGCACAGTTATTTGAGAGGCTTTTCCTCTAGCAAGAGCTTTAAAACATGTAGATGTGGGCACTTCAAGTTGTGCTCTAGTGGCCAAGGTTGTGGGGTTTTTTGTGGGTGGTTGGCTGTGTTTGTTTGGGGGTTTTTTGTGGTGATGGTTGTACTTGGTGGTCTCAGGGGTCCTTTCCAATATGACAATTCCACGATTTAAACAAGTATTTGGCAGTTCATTAAAAAAAAATTAAGAATAATTTTTAAAAAAGCAGCAAGGTTTTTTTTTTCTGCTGCTTTTTTGTACTATGTTTAGAACAGTTGGTAAATTATCGGGACTGTGACAGATTAAATAAATCTTGTGTCTTCTGATGCGGGCATCAGTTGTTCAACAATGTCTGATCTTCAGTCAGTACCAGTAAAGTGAAAAATATGCCAGTAGTTCAGAGGAAAAAGCATGTTGGAATATGTTGTCCAGCTCTCATTTTCATTCCAGGAGAGTGATGTGGCTTGTGCATTGCCTGTGAAAATTTTTTGCAGAGGTGAAATGGGAGAAGTGATGGATGTTTCAGAACACCTTATTCAGAAGGGATTGGCTTTTAGAAACAGAAGGTTTGGATAGTTTCCTTTTACATCCTTTTAGACTCTCATATTCACATTGTGATAAGCTAATAAGTAAAATAAAAATTTGGATTGTCTTCTACAGCATATGTAGCAAGAGAACTCCATCTTTAGTGAACTTACCTGAGTATAACATTATTAATTGTATCCATTACACTTTTCAGCTCTCTTAAGTTGATATATGAGATACTTGACAATATTCTAACAAGCGTGTGCCATCTCCATGTGTTTTTGTTTTTTACTTCTGTTTTACTCTTTTGTACTTTTAAAGTTCTTCAGCAGTTAACATGTTTGTGTGATTTGATTGAATCTGATAGAATTGATAAAGCTGATGTGGCTTGCTCAATCTCCAAGGAACATCTTAAAGTACCTTTAAAGCAGGAGAGTGCGCGAGTGGATGATTGTAATTCAGCAACTGCATGTGCAAAAACCCATGCTGCTCCAGAGCAAAACATCACTGTTTCAGAGAGTGAACAAAAATCAAGTGAAACATACGAGGCACTGCTTCGTTCAGGAATGGATGAGATATATAAACCTCCCCCCATACCTGAAGAAAAAGTTTTTCAAGCTGTAGTGAGTTGCGTTGGACACGATGGAACTATTTATATAATACCAAAATCTTATGGTAAGATTACATGGAAGAAGATATGCTTATGTGTATGAATCTCTATAGCTTTGGTATATCAATATACGAGATAGGTGTTCTGGTGGACGTGTTGTGGGTCAGAACACAGTCCCGGAGGATTCCTGTTGGGGAGGACTGCGGCATTTGGCAAGGGGTGCGTGCGGCTCCCGCAGTTTCCCGGGGCGGGAGCCCACCTGCCCAGCAGGTGGCGACCTGTCCTCAAGCCCATTGCAATGTTCTCTCCAGCCCGCCCGGGCAACCCGCAAACCCTAAGTGCTTGCATGGACGGGTTCCCTGCCTCTCCTCTAGACAGTGTTGGGTAAAGCAGCCAGTACTTTGCTTTGTAATGTGGAGACTGTGGTACGTTTTGCTAATAGTAATGAAAATACAATCCTAAAAATTCTCAGAAATTAGCCTGGATTGTTGCAGCAGCTTGTTGTTTTTTTTCCTTCAGTATGAGCTCAGTACCCAGTTTTCTCGGGGTCTTTATTTATACTGTGATAGATTATGAATATCTTAATTTTCTGTTTGTACTATTTAAAAGTGGTACATTTTTGCCTGACAAACGCAGTGTAGGTCTTCAGTACCATGGTGTAATATATTGTAGTTTTCAGAAGAGCTGCTGTATGAGAAACTATTTTAAATATTTTTTAAATCCTCCAATTACATTTAACTATTAGATCATATCATAAAACTTTGAAATTCGAAGTATAGTAACCCCACTTGCCCAAGACCATATTCTTCTTGCAATTGCTGCTGTAGTCTGTACCCATTGCTGAAGAGGGTCTTTTGGCCACCTGTTTTATATAATTTTATGGTGTCCTACCACTGCCTCTGGGAAGTGTGTCTTGTTCATGGAGCAGCTCTTCTAATGCTGCTGCCAAGGTGTCATTTGCAAAATTTATAGACCTTTCTTCTCCAAGATTGGAATCCTAAATTACTAATGGCTTCACAATCAGAAATAAAGTTTTTTAATTTTTGTTCAAGTATTAACTTGTTTGCATATGCTACATGCTGAACATACATATTGTATCAGTGTTGGAATGCATTCTTCGGAGCAGCACGTGTATTTTGTGTTTATACATGTCTTCATCTGAATCTACTTGTGTTTAGTGATTGTGAAATAATTTCTGTTAACGTGTTACAGACAACTTTGAATGTATTTATTATTTATTATTCGCTCTCCCTCATGCCCCCAGAAACTGAACTAAACAAATTGATGGCTGAAATACAAAGTTACTTCAAATGCCTTGGTCTTCTGGAACCCTACTGCTGGAAAAAGGGAGAGCCTTGTGTTGTAAGAGGATCAGATACCATGTGGTATCGAGGTAAAGTTGTAGAAGTTGGTGGTGGTGCCCTCCAGGTAAGTTTGATTGTGTGTCTTGTGTGTGTTTATGAACATCTGCACGCATGTTAAAAAAAAAAAAAAAGCCAGTAATCTTGTAAAAGAAATTTATTATCACCCCTTTTTTCGTTCAGCTGACCTGACTGCCCAGATGCTTGTTCTACTTTAGAAGTGTGACAGCTGTCCTGGGTTTTTTATTTACTTTAAAGATTAATTCTGTCTGCTTATTTCCATAACCACTGTTTTTCCCATATTTTTCCTAGTGATTATAAATGTTCTTAAGTTAAAAGTTACCCTTCATCACCTGCAGTTAATCCCTTTTAGTTTTTTTTCTTCTTTTCTGTTGTTATCTTCTGTGGAATGCTTAAAAAATACTTAGTTTTAGATTCCTCCCACCTTGTCCCCACCCAAAAAGCAGTGGCTGTCTTTGTTCTTAATTCTTTCTGCTGGACAGGTATAGAGTTACATTTTTGAATTAGTAGTTAATCTTACCTAAACTCTTGAGCCTGCTCACGTAGTGTGAATGTAGATGTGCAAGTCTGACACAATGGTAGTTCACAGTTTTTTTTATTTCTTTCACTTTTAAACTACTATATGTAATTACATAAAAGGTAGAATTTCTTGCAACACATGTTTAGAAACTGAACTTCTAATGTGCCATACCAGGTTTTTTTAATCCTTTCTTTCATTCCCACTTTGCCATATCACTTGCTTGCCACCAAACAGTTGCTTTTTCCTCCAGAAAAGAGAATGCTGTACATAGACGTTGTATTTTATCAAACTTGACTTAAAAACTAGGAGTTATTTCAGGAAAACTGTTATTTTTATATAGGTACATTACATAGACCATGGTTGCACAGAGAGGATTCCTCAGTGTCATCTGTATCCAACTACATTGTATACTGCTGTTCCTCCATTTTGCATACCATGTCAGCTCTACAAGACAGTACCAGTGAGTAATGAAAGATTCGAATATGTTTTGGTAGGCAGTTACTCAAATTGATATGCTGTTCAGTCATACAAAGGTTGAGACTACTTGCTGGTATTTTTTCTTGCCTACTACTATTCAGAGAATAGCTGATGAAAATTGTTTCAGCAAGGCAGCCTTTTATCAGAAAATTCCAGATTGCTTTATGAAGTAACCATGCCTTAAATCAGCTGTCATTGGAATTAAATCTTTGTGAAACAGGACATTTCAGTAGCTGGCAGGATGATACTCTGAAATGGTAGTTCATTTTACAATAGCACCAACAGGTAGCAAGGCCTGAATTTTTTTAATACAAAATGGCCAGAAAATTGGAAATCTGCAAGTCCTGCAAAAGTGTTCCTGTCATTCTGAACTTTGCTGTGCAGGAAACAAGTCTATTAGGCTAAACTAATATAAGAGAATTGTTTAGGGGGTTTTCTTATTAAGTAATTGATACATAAACAACATCTTCCCAAATCGCATCTTACTCAATTTGAATTGTGCATTTAGTAAATGTGACTTTTAGCTGACTTTTAAAGAAAACCTTTATTTCTGGAAGCAGTTCATCTGAGTGATTAAGACAGGCAGGTTTATAAGCCTGCAGATTGGGAGGCAAACATATATTGCAGGGAATAAAATAAGTATTTAAACTATCCAGTGTTTTCTGTTGTGTGTTATCTTTGAGTGTATTACTTTTGGGTTATATTTCTGTTACATGTGCACACATAAACAGCTATGTCTATTGTACAGTTTAGTCTAGGCAAGCAGTATCTCTTCCTAAGCCACTTCAAGATTTGAAAACTGCTCATTGGCTTTGTCACACAGTAAGTTTTAGTGTACCAAGTAGCAGCTAATTTTCAAACTAATTAAGTGTGTTTTCAATGCTAGGCACATATTTCCATCTTACTTTCTTAAGAATAGTAAGAGAATTACTTGTCAGCATCTTAATGTGAGGGGGTTTTTTGCTTTTTGCCAAATAGATCGGAAATTTTTGGCAGCAGGATGCAGTAGATTGCCTTCAAGAGCTGCTTACAAATGAAGAGGTTGAAGTACATGTTCAGGTAACTTAATCTATTCATAGAGGTGGACTGACTTTTTGTGCTCTTATTTTTTCTTCTTTTAACTTGTATTAAGAACAATAAAGGTAAAGGAGTGTGGCAGTAAATACATGTCTTAGACAAAACAAAATCCAAAGCTAAGGTTACTTCTCTTATTACTTGACCTTTTATTAGTTTTCAGGCCTTAAATGTGTCCTTTAGAGGACAATAGTTTTTGGTCTGTTTCTATTCTCTGTTATTGACAAGCAGCCTTCCTACTGACAGCATAAATTCTTCTAAATCCAATTCTAAGTAATTAAAATTTTGCCTATCAGCGGATTTGGAACTAAATGATCTTTAAGGTCCCTTCCACCCGAACCTATTCTGTGATCCTGTGATTTTTTTATGTTATGATAATAAGTATAGACATGCTTAAATTTATATATTAACATAGGGTAACACATAATCTCTATTGTCTGAAAATCTGCAATTTCAGATAGTTTTATTTCTAATGGTAAATTGTGAAAGAGAGAGGTTTACTGTTGAGTGAGCAAACATAGGATAATGTTTCAGTGTTACACTGTGTAGTCAGTGCTGCCTTTCTAGAGATAGGTATATTCCTGTTTGTGTCACAACTGATGTAATAGCTATCTGGGTTTTGGATCTTCAACGAATGAATATAATGCATTTAGGAATGATAGGTTTGAATTTCCTGGTCACACTATTGCTGTTATAATCTTAGTTTGTCTTGTGAAAGTAGGAGTTACCAGATAACCCATGGGGCAAGCTGTCCATCAGCCTGTATTTTGGTGGAGTGTCACTTTCTTCCTTCATGGCATACCACAAGTACTGTGTTGCTGAAGATTGTCTGGACATACCAGAGGTGGTGAGATTTTATGTGTGTGTGTCTTTTGCTGTTATTCTGACATGAAAAATTACTCAGTTGCTTGTTGTGACTTCTGCTGATCTGTTACTTCTTTTTATATTTCTGTACAGCTTTCTGATGTAAACAGCAGTAAGAATAAGTACACAGCTCTGTATTATAACCAAGTGTAGATATGTTGATAAAACTGTGTGGAATATTCACCATGAGAGTGGTGAGACACTGGCACAGGTTGCCCGGGGAGATTGTGGGTGCCCCCTCCCTGGAAGTGTTGAAGTTGGGTTGGGTGTGATTTTGAGCAGCCTGGTCTAGTGGGAGGTGTCCCTGCCCATGCAGGAGTGTTGTTAAGGTCCCTTCCAACCCAAAGCATTCCATGATTCTGTGAATAGGAAATTGCCAATAATTTGTTCTTGGACTCCTTTCTGAAAAGAGTTTTTTTCTGTTTGTAGTCCAATTAGTTTTTGTGTTCCTCTAAAACTTCATAGGAATAGGATAGTATTTTTATCTCTTGAAGGGATTAGTTAATCATAGAAATATGCTCCAGTGGTGGAGATACTAAAAAATAAATTTGATCAAATAGTTCAGCATAAACCTAGTGATGTGTAAGGGCGTTATCTAGCTTCTTCATTCCAAGTGTCTGGAATGTTCATCTGGTGTTGAAATTTTCACCCAACTTCATTGTCTTAACACACAAAAAAAATAGATAAGTAAACTCTCTGTATTACTTGCAAATTTGTTTCTGGATGTCTATAAATAGATGAGGGCTGGGCATCAAGAAGGCAGGAACAAGCTCTTTTCACTTGTGCCCTGTGACAGGACAAGGGGCAGTGGATTCAAACTCGAGCACAGGAAGTTCACCTCAACATGAGGAAGAACTTCTTTACGGTGAGGGTGACAGAGCACTGGAACCAGGCTCCCTAGGGAGGTTGTGGAGTCACCATCCCTGGAAGTATTTAAAAGAAATGTAGATACAGTGCTTAGCAACATGATTTAAGCACTGAATGAGTAAATTAGGTTATGGTTAGACTTTATGATATTCAAGGTTCCTTCCAACCAGGATGATTCTATGATTCTATTCTATTTTAGGTTTTTCTTTCTAAATACTTTATCTTTTAAAGGGAATTCCATATTTAATGCATGTTTTCAATTAATGGCAATCAAGTTAACAAGTCAGTATGCTAGGATCATTTCAAAGATATGTTCTTTATATTTTAAGTGTTAATAATTATCTGGTTCTTTTCTGTCATGTTCTAGGAGCTACTTCAAGGAGACATTCCTGTTTTACCTTCATACCCATTGCCACCACTGCCTGTTCCAGGAGATACCTTTCCTGTCAGAGTTACCCATTTAGTGTCCCCTAAGGAGGTAATTTTTGTAAACATCTCATATGTTGCAGACAGAAATGTTGCAGTCCCATGATGCTGGTGGGGAGAAAATCATGGCTAACAATTTTACATAATAAAAATATTACTAAGGTTGCAAAATGCTACTGAGTTATTGATACAGATGGTTGTGCAGTGCAACTGTCAGAATGAAATCCTACTTGAAATACTCTCTTGGGTGAGGGAAGAGAAATAAATACTAACCATTTCCCTAAAAAAAAAGGGAATTTTACGAATTACAATACTGCAGTCTGGTACTTGACATGTATAATAAGAAATTGGTAATTGGATTTTAACTTGGCAGAGCAATGGTTACTTCTCTCTTCTTATTCTGCTCTCTTCCTGAAAAGAGGGTGGATTTAAATCAGATGTTAGGAAGAAGTTCTGTACTTTGAGGGTGGAGAGACATTGGCACAGGTTGCCCAAGGAGCTTATGGATGCCTCTCCCTGGAAGTGTTTAAGGCCGGGTTGGATGGGGCTTTGAGCAACCTAGTCTAGTGGAAGGTGCCTCTGTCCATGCAGGGGGTTGGATCTGATGATCTTTGGTCCCTTCCAACCCAAACCATTCCATGATTCTGTTCTTCAAAAATTGAATTACTGGAATGTTGTTTAATAACATTTTTCTGGCTGTTACAGTTATATTTTCTGCCTTTAGTTGATGATTGATCATTGATTTTTGTGTAAATCCACGCAACTTCCCTTTAGTAGTCTCCCAGGCAAAAGACAGAATGAGTTGTTCATTGATCAAATAAAAGATTCCTGCGTGGACTTTGAATGTTGAATGATGAAATAGGATAACAGGAAGCAGTGAGAAGGTGATTGTGTTACAGAGATCTAACATCTTCATAGTGGATTGATTTATAGTGAAGTGCTTATGTTCATTGTTTTGGTAAATCTTTAGACCAGGAAAGTTCTTATAGTAGTGAAGTGATTGCTTTAAATTGAGCATCAAGATCTAATATAAGTTCACCCCATTAATTCACTTGAGCATACATAAAAACTGTTTTGACTAAATAAAAGGTGGAATTGTTTGGGTGTCTTAGAAAAGGGCTTTTCTTGAATTCTGTAAGGAAGGATGACAATGATATGAGAAACATCGTTTTTTTGTTGTTCATTTTGTGCAAATGACATGAACTCTTGCTTTTGAACATTGTATATAGTTGTAAACAGTAGATCCTGCTCTTGTAGATTAGAAAAAAATAATAGTCCAAACAAGTTAATGACTAGGTTAATCAGTAAAATACCTTAATGATCTGTTAAAAAAAAAAAAAAAAAAAGGCATTTCAGTTCAGTTGGAAGCTGTTGTGTAGATTTTAATTAACCTGTGCATGTTGTTTAAATTTTCATTTCTTTGACCTACAGCATTATGCTGATGATCCAATAGTACATTAGGTACAAACAAATCAACATTTCCAAAAGTAGTTCTTTTTCATTAACCTGATATTGTAGTTTGATATTATGAAGTGAGTTTATTTGCTGAGTAGCAGGAGGGAGGAATCCTAGTAAGACACAGCTGTGGAATCTTTCAGGGGTATATTATCTGCTGTGTGAGTTCCTTCCTTCTTACATTGTAACATTGAAAAGTGGTATTAATCACTCATGACTCTTCTGCTCTTGGAAAAAAACCTGTAAATATTACATTATTCATAACTTGAGGAAAGGAAGTGATCAAGGTTGTGCTGAACCTTTTGAAGATGAGAACAAGTAATCTTCTAATAATCTTTGATCACTGATTGAATTTGAATGTTGAGGTCATCTCAAAAAATAGTAATATGAGAACCTTTTCTTTGAGTAGGTATATATTTGCCTTGATCCTTCCAAGAACCTTATGAGGCAGTCTACCACCGAGGGAGATCCCAACTGTGACTCAGAGATGGAGAACCTTGATGAAGCCCTGAAATGGTGCAATAAAAGTGTGGAGTCTTTCCCTCTTGTATCACACTACCAAATAGGTATATCAGTGTATTTATTTTCTATGTCATCGCATGTGGACGTACAAAAAGCCTGAAGTAATTTCTGAAGAATAGGCATAATTACATTTCTGTGTATCTTTAATTAAAACTTCTAGAGAGTAAGGAGTAACATGATAGGATAATCTTACGATACACTGTAATCAGGAGTAAAAAAAAGGAGGCTCGGGGAAAACCTTGTCACCCTCTACAGCTACCTGAAAGGAGGTTGCAGGGAGGTGGGTGTTGGTCACTTCTCCCAGGTTGGCCTCATATTGTGCCAGGGCAGGGTTAGATTGGGTATTAGGAAAAATTTCTTCACTGAAAGGGTAGTCAGGCACTGGAACAGGCTGCCTAGGGAGATGGTGGAGTCACCACCCCTGGAGGTATTTCAGAGGCGTGTAGATGTGGTGCTTAGGATGTCATTCAGTGCTGGACTTGGCAGTGTGCTAGGTTAACAGCTGGATTTGATGATCTTAAAAAGCTCTTCTCCAAAGAAAATTATTCTTTTACTCTATAATCATATGTTTTTATTTTTCATTAAATTGGTACTTCTGTGTAATTCTGCTCCTCTGGAAAAGATGGAAGGAACTCAGACTTCTGATACCTGTTAAAGTTGATGAACAGAGTTTAGATTGCGTATGGCAAAAATAAATCTTTTCCCTAAAGGTGACTGTCACTGGAGCTATAACTGAAAATTTTGCTATTAAATATTCAAAAGACAGAAGTTTTGTACAGAATATATTACCAAAAGTAAGTGAACGCTAAAGAGCATCACTTCGCTTTCATTCTGGATTTCTCTGTTTAGGTAAAACTTTGGATCACTACGTTAACTAAGCCATTTTCTGTTAATTCTTGTCATTGCTGTGTGAGATAGAGAAACCTGACTTAAATCTCAGTAATGGTTGTGAATTGGAGTTCAGAGAGAATTGGAGGATGCACAGAACAGAATAGTAGCATGACTTAGAGAAGAAAAGAACTGAATCTCAGTCACAAAATAAAATGAATTTTCAAGTTCATTTAGTTTCTGAGTACATTGGAGTGTGTTGTGTTTTTTGTCTTTTTATAGATGTGCCTTGCCTTGCAGAATACCAGGATGGTTTATGGTATAGAGCAAAGATCCTCTCCATTGAAGAATTTAACCCTGTTAAGATTCTGGTTCAGTTTGTTGACTATGGTAGTTTTTCAGTTGTCCCAACAAGCAGGTAAATACCTCAGAAAAAAATGCATGTAAAATGCCTGCATGTGTATGTATGTATACACTTTAAAAATACTTATTATTGTTGTTTTTATTACTATATATTATTTATAATAATAGAACCTTAGATATCAATTGGAGATAAAGTTGGTTGACAACTTCTTGCAGAGTATAGGGTTGAGCAGGTTTCTCTTTCCCAGGTTCTGAGAAGCCCACTATGATGACAGATTTCTCCATTATCTTCAGGTTACTTAACCTGTGAAGTAGGCTCAGGTTTAGAATTACTTTTGCACCCAAGAAGCTTTCACAAAACAGGGACTGAGCCCTGCAGGTATACAAACTAATCCTCTGATCCTGTGCCACTGCAATTTGCACAGAAAACAGATGGGGAAGTCAGATAATGGAGTATCTGAGTGGGAGACACCCTGTGATGCTTGTGTGGAAATTGAGAGTTCAATTTCCTGTTCTGCCGAGTGCTGAGCCACTGCAGGGACATAGACATGTCCGCTAAGGGTTTCGAACACCTCCAGGCTTTCAGGGTTCCCTGAGCTTGTCTGATTTTTCTCTCTTGAAGTACTTTTAACCACATGGACTCACTCTTGAGCTCACTGGGAGTTCTAAACGTCCTTGTATCTGATGAGACAAAGTGGGGATTTGCACAGATTTGCTATGTCATAGACTGTTAAGGTCATGGGAGAGTGTGTGTTTTATTTCAGGGTTATACGTCCTGCTCAGCTTCCCCATTCCTTTGCTCCTGAGAAAGAAAGAAGAGTGGGGAGCTGATAATATAAACCCAAGGTACTTATTTCCAGTACTGTGGCTGGAGCACAACCAGGTGTGAAGCACTTCAGAACACAAAGGTCTGTGTCATTTTCTGGATGCACCAGACTTGGAGCCTGCATTGTGATGAGTTCTGCTTGTGCTCCTCCCTGTGTTAGGCACTTAAGGCTCCTCCCCAGGCACTGTAACAGGGAGCAGTGAGCCTGGTGGGCTGTGACACTGGCCTGCTTATTGACACTTACTGTGCTGGAGTCCTTCAGAGGGCCTAGCCCTGCCTGATGAATTGTTCAGTCTGACACAGCCATGTTCTCGTCAGGCAGGGACTGTGATCCCAGTTTCCACACTGTAAATCTACCACATGAGCCATTAGCTACCTTGTGTCCATACTGACAGTGGAGCTGGACAGGTGGATTGTTGCAGACAAATGTTTTTCATTTTAGATTGCGTCAAATACCTTATCATCTGCTGAAGTATCCTGTTCAGTCAGTCCGAGCTCTATTGTCTGGATTTAAACCTGCTTTATATGAAGAAAATGTGGAAAGAATTCCTTACTGCCCTGAATGGAGTATGGAAACACTGTGGGCTATGATGGACTGTGTTGAAGGAAAACAGCTCTCTGCTTCCATACTTGTGAGAAACACTTATTTTCTCCTATTTTTTGCTCAGCCTGAAATCCTTACTAGCACTCTCATTTGTTGAGTTACTTATTTGTTTTACTGTGAATCCTCGTAATTTAAAATTGTGAACCATTGACCATGAAGGAATTCTGATGAAGGGAGAAAATCACTTTTTTTAATCCTGCAAACAAGTATCTGAGCATTCCTATTATTTTAAAAGCAGTTTACTTAAAAACAGAAATAGTCTTTCTGTAGTCATAGTTCCATTTAGGCAGCAACTAAAACCATTAAAGTAACTGTTACTATTGGTTAGCTTGAGATTTAAATTTGTTATTGTCACAACTCTGTCACCTTCTGGTTTTCAGGCTCTTACACCAGAGGTGACCATTTCTTTGTACGATGATGACAAAAATCTAGTTCATATGAAACTGGTAGAAATGGGACTTGCAGATTTGGAGGAGTGACATGTAAGTACCGTGAATATGAACTACAAATTCATACCATTACACAGGTATGATTTCAGAAGTCGTAAACAAAGTCTTAACTGTCAGTAATGTTGACAACTATGTTGCTTTTTAAAAAAAAAAAAAAAACACTTCTGTCTTTTAATAAAGTAAAAGCTGTTAAAAAATTGGATTTCATTACACATGCAATACTGTAGCCAACAGTGCAGCTTTAAGAACTAACAGGTACTGAAACAAAGAGCCCCAGGGCAATATAACAGAAGGAGCTTTTGCTGCTAGTAACTGAACAATGTAACACAGATGTGTGGCAGTTTACTCTGCCCAAAAATAAAAATTAATTATGCCAGTGGTTCTCAGATCCATGAGCACATCTGGATGTCTACACATCTAGTCAGACGTGGAATATTTTATATGAAGAGCTTTACAGTATGTGTTGTCTACAGAGAATACTAGAGATTAATTTTCAAATTTTTTGGCCAGCTTAGTGTTAAGTAGTCCTTTTCCCTCCCACGTAATAAGCACTCTTCTAATAAATGTTTACAGGTAATGTTGAATCTTGAAATAGTGATACTGTGTATTCACACCTTAATCTTTTTTGACCTTAGAGCCTTAGGTATTTTTTTGTCATACCTGTTTGTTTTATAAGAGTAGATGGAATTAATGTATAGTAGTAAAAGATATACATTAAAAGCTGATACTCTTGTATTAACTCGTTAGAAGATGTGGAGGGAAGGGTGATAGTTTTATTACTGTTATGTAACTCTTGGTTTATGTTTCAGGCATAGTTGGTGCCAGATTTCTCCAGTACCAGAGGCTGGGAGAGAGGGTGAACAGTTGAGGGTGGAGGAATATTACTGTCTTTGTTCTGGAACATGTTTGCTGCTGTTTCCTGTTCTGGGTGTCCTTGCACCTCCTTCATACTTCTGGAGCTGCAGTGTTCGTTTGAAAGTGTTGGAATAAACAGGAGCTTGCTCAGTATGCATCTGAAACTTGTTTTCCTTTACTGCCCCAGCATTTAAGGTCTCTTTGGATGTCTCTATTGTATAGTGTAGTATATCCTTTACACTTAAAGCTCAGCCCTTTCCATCTCCACCCATAGAATTTTGTCTGCATTAGGATTCAAAAAACATGCATGACAAGCATTCCACATTAACACGGTAACTACAGAGCTTGCTTTCCCTGGGGAGAAAGGTGGGGGAAGCAGAGGACACAAGGGGAAGAAAGTACATTTTGCTGCACAAGGGAATTAAATTTTTCAGCATTCACTATGCTGGAGAGTTAGAGCAGATACTGTAGCAGTATCACTTTGATTTTAAAATTCTGCAGTATCTACAATCAGCCTAAAAATGCCTGTGTGCTGCAAGAATGGGATGAGATGACCTTCGTTGATTTCTAGTGTTTTCTCTCAGGCTTCTCAGTAGCTTGGAGTTTTAACCTGTCCCAGTGTCACCTAGCCAAGCCTTATGAATATAGAGGAGCAGTTCACAAAACACAGTTTGGGGTCTGCTAATGCTGTTACTTCCTAACTGTGAGATAAAAAATAAAATCATGAAGAGGACTAAGGCTAACTGAAAAGGAATACTGCCATCCTTTACTCTTCTTAAGTCAAGCGGTAAGTAAGCTGACACCCAGACTCTTAAATGTGGCCACCCTCTGTATTTCACCACAGCAGGAGTTCCAGCAGCACAACTTTTTACCTTGGATTTGAAGAATCCTCTCTTAAGTGTCTAACACAAGGTAACATACATCTGTTTGATGAATTTTTCACTGGCAGCTGATTTAAAAAATGCCACACATGACAGAACACTGAATCAATAAATGGTTGCCTAAAAGTAGAAATGGGGAAAAAACCAGAAAAGGTTCTGATGCAATAACACCCACTGAAAAATGTTTTTTTTCAGAAAAACTGAACAATATATACATACAACAAACTCAAAGGGGTTTCTTGTTTACAGGACTGTACATCATTTTTGTTGATGTGCTAACACGACCAGCAGCTGACATTCTCTATAACTTAGTGTCCATGATAATGTTGCCATCCTTGTCCTTTACTCTCACTCTGCCAGAGACATACTTTGTTTCCTGCTGTCCATTCACGTACACAGTCTTGACAGTTCCATCTGGATATTCCCGTCTCTTGAACTGGGATGTGTGTAGTTCTCTCTGGCCATTATTGAACTCTATAGTTTTGCTTCCATCACTGCATTAAATAAATACAAGAATATTTTAAAAAAAATTTCTTAAAAATTTTAAATATGCAAGTCTGAGTGAAGGAATAACTTAAAAAAAACCAACAAAAACAGTATTTGTGAAAAGCTTGTTTTGTTAAATACCATCCCATTTGTTTTGGTACTCAAAAACCTGTTTCTGCAAAACTGATACCTTCTTTTTACTTGAGAGCCTCTACCACACTTTCTCTGCACTAAGTCTGTTGTTGCAACAGTTCAAGAAAAGTTTAAAACATAACATCCTGAGTGCTCTCAGGTGTCAGTCAGACCAGCTCACCACACCAGCTGGGTTCTCTCACATGTTCTCTAGAACTCTGCACAAATCAGAAAAATCTGATTTGTCAGGGTATAGTAAAACACACACAGGCATTCAATCCTTGTGTCTCCTCCAAGCTATTAAAAAAAAAAAAAAAAAGCCAAAATTTCCAGCAGCAGATGCAGGCTCACAGCACGGTGTATTCAAACATAAGCCTCTAGAACACAGGTCTGTCACCACCGAACTGCCCCTGCCCCATCAACAGGCAGCACTTACCGCTGAACACGGACAACGGTCCCATCTGGGAAGATGCTTTCTTCTTGCCCATCCGTAAATAAATTTTTGATAGTTTGATCAGGGAAAGTAATTTCTTTCTTGCCATCAGGATAATGCTTCTCTGAAATGTATTGAGAGGCAATACAGTTATTACAGAAATACAAGTATATTTACAGGCAGCATTTCTGAGGGTTGGTTGGGTTGGATTTCTTTACCTATTTGTCCATTCAAAAACTGCAAGACCTCTAAGCCATCAGAGTATGTAGTATGTGTAGTCTTGGCATCAGCATAATAATAAATCTGCAGGAAACAGTTGAGGTTTATGCACATGTGTGCATAAGTACATTTTTATAGCAAAGTGCAGAAGATGTAGGATACACACCACCGTTTGATCGGGCAAAATCTGCTTCACATCCCCATTGAAGAAGGTTATAGTTACAGTCTTCCCATCAGAACCCACTTTTTTACACGTCCCATTGGGGAAAAATATGAGGTGACAGCCATTTTTCAACACCTTTTCAACCTAGGAATACATTACAGAGAGGTCAGTACTGAGCCATCATATTCACATGCTCATTCCCCTTTCACAACAGCTGGAATTTCAGAGTGCCAAGCTCTTGTTCACCTTTCCATCAGGGTAAGAAGTTTCTCTCTGAACCTCTTCACTGTCTGTATATGCAGATCCAGATGGCAGAGACACATGAGCTTCATGAGATGTGTCCTAAAATGACAACAATAATCTGACCACAAACTCAAATCAAGCTTTGTCTTTATACATGTTTGGTGTTTTTTTCCTTAAACTGACAGGTAGTTTAAGAAACAAGGAGCATCAGGAGAGGAAGACAAGTATAGGAAGGTATAAACACAGTCTGGGTTTTATGCAACCCCTAGTATAGCTCCAGTGGTAAGACAAACTGACACTCAGCAATAATTGGTTGTCTGTGGTCAGTGTTGCAGCATGGTGCTTAACTGCCTTAAGACATCCATATAGGAAGGTATGAAACAGTTGATAAAGCTTCATAAAATCTGAATGCTACATAGAGCCATTCATATAGGAATTAATTCATCTGTTTCCAAGATGCTTGCACAGTTGCTGTACACGGAGCATATAAACATCAATTTTTTCCCCTTCCTCAAAAGGTAAAATATTTTGCAAAATTGAAGGGGGCAGGTTACTATTATTTCATTTTATTTCTTCAATCAAAGAATGTTGCAATTACTAGACTCAAGTAGAACCCTGCATTGAGTACTGCACAGCCATCTTCTGGTATGACAATAGAACCGCAGTTGAAGTACACAACATCAGCCACCCTCCAGATAGTCATTTAAGTACAAGTAACTTGTTTTATTTGAGGTTTTTTATTCCCCCTTAAAAACCAAACCAAGATACAGGACTTACTACCATAAATGTCCTAGAAGAATCCTCTAGTGCCATCACTGCCTCAGAGTTGCTTCTGTCACTACCAGGCACAGGTACAGGTGTTCTAGAAAGCTTTCCTACTCAGATGCATGGAATAAAGTTAATTTGGGCAGTAAAATTAAAGTGTAGTTGAAGTGTTACAATCATAAATGGTGTCAAGTTGCACAGGACACAGACATTTAAGTGCAGTAGAAACTGGAAGCAGCATATTTATTAGAAGATTCAGCATAAACCAGCTTCCTCAGGTATGTCATTCCTTCATGTGTCAGCAAGCAGGTGCAAAGAATTGCTGCAACAGTCATAACACTTGCACTTTGTCTCCTATTTAATTTCTGTAGATTTATAAAGGATTTCTTTTTTTGCCCTAGGGAAAATAATCCTGTAAGGATTATTAGTTACGCCTTATAATGAATAAAGGAAGACTAATGTTACCTCTTAACCAGAGCTGATTAGCAGACTAGATTACTAGATTAGCAGAAAGATTACCAATATAAACCCAGCAAGGGCTTCAGTTCTGGAATGCACTCCTCTAACAGATAACTTAATGGTTGCTTGAGCTCTCAGAGATGTCGAAAAAGCACCCTCCAGTTACTTGCCCTACGTGATTATTCATCAGGAAGGGGTATAGCTGCCAACACTATTTGCTCCTAAATGTGAACAAGGAATGGCATTACCCATGTGACTACAGATCCTAGTAACAGAAGGTTCTGAAGAGACACAGTAGTTCTGATGCCATCAACATAGTCATCTAACCAACATCCACAGCTTGGAGAGCATCAACAACAAATGCCATTTTGGATGACAGGATGCAGCTTCTGGT